GAGAGAAAGAAAGAGACAGCGAGACAAAGTGATAGCGCGAGCAGGAGTGAAAGAGAAAGGGGTGTGCGTGCGTGCGATTGTGCGTGTGTCTGCGTGTGTGTGCGAGAGAGAGAGATCGTGGCTTCACGCGCACTTAAAAATCAAGACGAAACCTTCTGTTCGGAAATCGATCGCGCGCCGTATTTCGCAACGCCGCGAGTCGGTGAACCCTTCAATTACGCCAATCCTAGAAAATCCTTGCAAGCCTACTACTACACCCCCCACACACCCAACCCAACACACCACTCCTCGACACGCGTACAACGTTCACCCACATGTTGCGACCTTAACGCTGCGAGCAAAGGGTTTAGGCGGCAAGCGGCTTGCTTATTACTCATCCCTTACTCGGCCTGCCGCGCAACCATCAACTGCGATCGGCGGCACTAGTAACGGAATTTGGCGAGGGTGTCTGGAGCATTGCCGACTACGAGATGACGCATTATCGCCCATGAAATTTTAATCGTGAAATCGAATTAAACGCTCGGGGAGAACCGCCTCGCCAGGCCGCCGGTGACCTGACCGTGTAATGGAATCGCGCTGCTCTCCCAACAGCCGCTGCCCGCAGGCTCTAGCTGCTAGACACGTCGAAACACATATGCATCGATATATATATATATTACACACGCACACAAAATAATACATATATATATATATAATTATATATATATGTAATACAATATATATATATATATATATATATTGATATATATATTGCTATATAGATATATCAAGGGATATTGTATGGACGAGTCAATGATCTGGATAACACGTGTCCGACCAACTAGCCGTTTGTTTGGTCGGATCAACCGAATTCGATCCTCCGGAACTGACGGGTGGTTAGGTGGGTTCGAAGGCGATCCAATGTGGCGGCACGTGGTTCAGCCAATGTGTGACTACTTATGAACCTGTAATATGTCGCAGCGACAGTTCACCCGTTGTGTTTGCATTTGTCTGGGCAGATCAGGATCAAGTGGTCCAGATCAGACGAATGCGTCCGAAACAAACACGCCAATCATCATTGCACCACTGAACTAGAACACTGGTTCTGGTTCAGCGCATTGCACGCGACACGACGACAGGTGCTGCCACCACAACAGGTGCGGCCATTACAACAGCTGATGCCACCACTACAGGTGTCAAGACATCTGTCAATTTTTTACCATTGCATTATTTCGCCTCTTATTTGATTATCTCAAATTTGTGTGTGGTAACATTCGGCACTATAGTGCACTAAGCTACATTGTACACGCAAGGTGTATGCATTATAGACATCTAAAAAGCATGAAAAGTACGATTGAAGTGACCTATAGCCATAGAGACCGGTTCGCACTGTTTGTGTGTGAAACGGGATCCGACAACTCGCTGGAAATTTGCATCATGAAGCTGACAAATGTTTCGGGTGAAGTTTGGACCGGGTATCTGTGGTCATTTAGCATGAAGAAAGTGTATGAGCGCTCTGGGGGGGGGGTATAAAAATACCCTCAGGTTTAAATAGCCAATGGCCTCCTACCCGCAATGTGAATCTAACCATACCCTAACTCATAATCCAGCCAATCAGATCAGAGAGCCGGTGGGGGAGGGACACACGAGTGCCGCCATGATAACGTGGTAATTATAAGCAAACAATTACAAGCGCGGTACGAGCAGTGACAACCGGTCAATTAACGAGTAATTAACTCGTTCCGGCCGGAAGGGATCGCGCAAACACGCGTCAGGGGCGGCGGCAACGCTGCGAGTCGCAACCATGATTGCAAGCTGTAGCTGCTGTGCGCAGTGTAGTGGCAGCCACCGCTGCGCGGCCAATGCGTGCCAAGACGCTTGCGTTCTCACAGAACACGTCCCTCAGCCTACCACGCTACTGCGTAAACTTGCGTTCTCAGCAACATTGCTCCCAGAACACGTCTCTCAGCCTACCACGCTACTGCGTAAACTTGCGTTCTCAGCAACATTGCTCCCAGAACACGTCTCTCAGCCTACCACGCTACTGCGTAAACTTGCATTCTCAACAACATTGCTCACAGAACACGTACCTCAGCCTACCACGCTACTGTGTAAACTTGCGTTCTCAGCAACATTGCTCCCAGAACACGTCCCTCAGCCTACCACGCTACTGCGTAAACTTGCGTTCTCAACAACATTGCTCCCAGAACACGCCCCTCAGCCTACCACGCTACTGCGTAAACTTGCGTTCTCAACATTGAACAATGCAATATTGCTCCCAGAACATGTCCCTCAGCCTACCACGCTACTGAGTAAACTTGCGTTCTCAGCAGAACACGCCTGCGAGCTCCGATGTGAAACACAGCCAGCACATATCATCGCGACGTCTTACGATGTAGTTGTATTACATGTCCACTGGACGGATGTGGGTGATGGGGGGGGGGGGGTCGCGCAGCCTGCAAGATGACAGACAACTTGTACATCTGATAAACTCGGCTGCTTGTTTAGTTAGTTAAATCGATACCGGGATCCAACAGCCTGGTGTTCATTCACCAGCCAGCATCCTCCCTCCCTGGTCAGTGTACCCGGTTACAGCACTAGTTCTGGTTGGTTGGCTTGCAATATTGGTTGGCTGGGTTGCAATATTGGTTGGCTGGGTTGCAATAGAAGAGGGCTTGCTTGCAATGGTGGATGGCTGGGTTGTAATAGAGGAGAGTTGGGATGCAATATTGGATGGTTGGTTTGCAATATTGGATGGTTGGCTTGCGATAGTGGTTGGCTAGGTTGCAATAGAGGGATTATAGTTAGCAATAGTGGATGGCTGGGTTGCAACAGTGGATGGTCAAGTTGCAATATTGGTTGGCTAAGCTGCAATATTAGATGGTTGGCTTGCAATCGTGGCTGGCTGGGTTGCCATAGTCGGTGGCCGAGTTGGAATAGTGAATGGCTGGGTTGCTGTAGTGTAGAAGTACCCTTCGACGTGGCCTGTTCAGGCATCCCTCTAGCAGGCTCATATTTGTAGGCACCCTAGGAAACACATGTGGCAGCCACCACCTATTCCAGCATTCAAGGAGACAGCCAGGATGATCACCACGCGACATGTGAACCCTTCTGCTTCGGACTCCTTGGAGTGAACGTGCAGGAAATGCAATCCACGTTTTGCCCCATTCCTCTGTGCGCATGCTTGTTCCGAGGAACCCTCACCACCCGGTTATTAGCTAGGGTTGAGAGAATGGACGTCTCAAATAGCAGGAGTAATTATTGTGTCTTAGCAATGCGAGCAGCAAAGGCAATCCCATCCTAGTGTGGGGTCGATGCATACCCTCAAAGAAGACGTTTTACCAAAATTGCATAAATTGGTGCATTACGAAGTATTCCTAATAGTAAAAAAAAACACATCGAATTTTGACCAAAATCGCTGCGGAACAACGGAACGACTACCGTCCCGAGGTAGGGGGTTCACTTCCGGGAGAGGTTTGCGCGTGCGCGTACTCACAGCTTCTGGAGGTTGTCCAGGCCCTGGAATGCGCCCGGCTCGATCTCGGTGATGTCATTCTTGCTGATGTCTCTGCGATAACAAACACGAAGAGGGCATTAGTGCAACGTACGCCGAACGGGAACCAAACGCTTGCCGAGCTAACGCGTGCCACCTGATGTCAATGCCCAGAACATGGCACTTTAACCCCCCCCCCCACACACACACCACACATAAACACCCACACGCACGCACGCACGCACGCACGCACGCACGCACGCACGCACGCACACACATACACATACACACACACACATACACACACATACACTGTCACATACATACAGGCACTCGCGTGCGCACAGTTTGACAGGTTTGTTTTGCCTGCCTCTTTCAACACTACCACTCCGTGTTGCCAAACATCTACTCTGTACAAATAACAAGCTGTGTGACCGCAGAGTGAAAGACACGTGCCGGGGTTTATACAAATTGAAACCTCCATGCCCCCCCCCGCCGACGCCGCCACACCTCACTCCTCATCCCTACTCACCAACCGTACTAGCGCCCCCCCCCTACCACCACCAAGAGAATTGCCACGCGTGCGTGTAAACAAGCGTTCTTAACTCTCGCCGTATTTTTTCAAAGATAAAATAAAATCGATGTATTTACGTAATGAGTTCAGAGATAGCGAACAAAGGTCCGCGCCGTAACAAACAGTTTGCCGTGCCTAGCTGCCGCCTGCAGCCCGCGTGGAGCCGACCAGCCAGCTACCGAGCAATCGATACGGCGTCTCACCCGACAGGCCTGTCTGCTTATATGCATGCATGTACACGCGCCTCGACACGCCAACTATTTACCCGACGTACTGCTTGCTGGCTCATTACTCCGCAGGTGATCAGTCTAGGATAGTTTGATCATCTGTGCAGCAGGGCCGCCTGCACGCAGCGCGGGTCTTGCAGGTAACCCATCCGTCACTGCCGCTGACATCTCAATCAATCAGTCACTGCTGCTGATCTGTCGGTCACTGCTCACTGCCGCTGCTAACTCGGTCTCCGCCGTTAATCGGTTACCGTCGCGGATAGTCTAATCAGTCTACAGGTAATCAGCTATAGGCCGCTGTTGTACAGGTAGGTAAGGTGACTAGGCTGCATCGAGCGCGTGTAGTGCTTGGATGCGCCCACACACGCGCCGCTAACACACGCGCCGCTAGTACTCGTCGGCATCATCCGCAATGCTCGCGAATCGTCGCGCGACCTCCGTGAGTACGTCTGCCTCGATTGCACCGCATCTGTCGCAACCGTTCTGGTATCAATCCCCCCTTACAGCTCCATCCTCACTGCTTCAGTCTCGTTGGCTTAGTCTCGATGTCTAGTTCTCTCTCTCTCTCTCTCTCGCTCTCGCTCTCGCTCTCTCTCTCTCTCTCTCTCTCTCTCTCTGCTCCTCTCTCTTCTCTGCTCTCTCTCTCTCTCTCTCTCTCTCTCTCTCTCTCTCTCTCGCCCTCGCTCCCGCGCTCTCTGCCTCGCTCTCGGTCTCGCTTTCTCTCTCTCACGCTCTCTCTCTCTCTCTCTCTCTCTCTCTGTCCTTTCTATCAGTCTTCCTCTCCCCCTCTCTTCTTTTTCTTTTCTCTCACTCTACCTCCCCTCTCTCTCCTCTCGCCTCTCCTTCTCGCTCCTCCTTCTCTCTCTCTCTCTTTCTCGCTCTCTCTCTCTTTCTCTCTCGATCTCCTCTTCTCCCTCTCCCTCTCTCTCTCGCTCCCTTTCCTCTCTCTCTCTCTCTTTCTCGCTCTCTCTCTCTTTCTCTCTCGATCTCCCTTCTCTCCCCCGCTTGCTCTCGCGCTCCCCTTCTCTCTCTCTCTCTCTCCTCTCTCTCTCTCTTGTCTCTCTCTTTCTCCCTGTCTCTGTTTCTCACTCGACCTTCTCATCTCTCTCGCTTCCTCTCTCTCTAATCTCTCCTCTCTCTTAATCTCTCTCCTCTCTCTCCTCTCTCTCTCTCTCATCTCGTCATGCTCTCTCCTTTCTCTTGATCCCCTTTTTTTTTCTTTCTTTCTCTCTCTCTGTCTCTTCTCTCCCTCTCTCTCTCTCTCGTACTTGCTTTCGCGCCCCATTCTCTCTCTGCCTCTCTCTTTTTCTCTTTCTCTCACTCGACCTCTCCTCTCTCTCGCTTGGTTCCCCTCTCTCTCGCCTTCGCTCCCCCCCTCTCTCTCGCCTCTGTTCTCGCGCTTCACCATATCCTACTTCCCTCAATGACTGACTTACTCACACCTAGCAGTTAATTAGACATCCGTACGCGCGCCACAGCCTCGGATATAACTCGGACAAATACCGCGAATTGTATTCAATTAAATAAAAACTTTCCCTCAAAGGGCGGCGGAGAGCGAAAACGCCTATATACACAGCGCACATACGGACGACGCATGAAATGTACGGCTCTTTGACTGAAAGCCTCACAGCCGGATGAATGGAAAGCTCGTACAATGCAATGGCTTCGGCTGGACGTTTGTTTCTGCGTTAGGCCTCATTAGTACTAACCACGCACGTACACGCACGCAAGCTGCACACACGGCGATCTCACCGCGAAACCGAGAGAGAGAGGACGACAGAGGAGAGAGGTGGGAAAGGGCGAGGGGACAGGCGAGTGAGAGTAAGGGGCAGAGAGAGCGTTCGTTGCGGTGTATGCGTGCTGCCATGCTGTTCGTGCTGCGTCTGCGTGGTGCGTGTCGTGCGTGCGTGCGTGCGGCGTGCGTATGTGCTGTGCAGTGAGAGAGGGCATGACTCTATAATAAGGAAGTTTGGCGGTCGTTGGACGGCGGTCGTCGAGCCACGCGTTCGGCAAAAAAACATCGTATCGTTTGTGCTGAGAGTGTAACAGAGCGGATTCTATACCCGCCCCCCCCCCCACGATCCTCCCCGCCGTCCACGTCCCGCACATCAGTGCAGCGCAGTCAGTCGTTGACATTTCCACTCACGCAGCGGCTCTTCCGAATGCCTGCCCGCCCCGTTGACTGTTGACGCAGCAGTAGGCTTAACCCAGCAGGCGACTCACTCACGCGTACAACAGTTCAAAACCGCGCCGACGCAATAATCTGTAATATAGCTGGGAAGGTCGCGTGTACATACGCACACACGCACACGCATGCAGGAGCACGCACGCACACTGCACCGCGCATGCGCACCCAGCCACGCCACGGCACGCCGCAACACGCCGCACGCACCCATAATACGTAGAACGCACGCGCGCAACACACACCACAGTCACACACACCGCACATACATACAACGCACGCACGCACGCACGCACACACGCCGCGCGCACCCGTCGCACACACACTCAACTCATCCCTCCACACGCGTAGGCCGCGGTTTACGTGGCACGATGCGTATAATACAGCTTTAGCTCGGTAACACACTGCTCGGCGGCAACGCTGCCACGCATCTGTCGCCGCATCGTGACAACGACGCAATCACGACGACAGTTGCTTCATGCAAAGCAAAAAAAACAGGCAGGGCTACGACCGCGCCATGGACGCGCAGCAGCTAGGCAAGCTCGTGTTACTCGTCAACCGACTTCGTCGACGCGTGCGAGGACTTGTGCGCGTAGTCTTCACGACATTCTGCTGTGACCGTGTTACAGCAATGGACATCAAGGAGCCTGATAGAAGCCGTAATCATTTCGCTAATTACCGAGCAATATCCGCGCCAATACACACGCGCCGCCGCGGGTTGGTGCGGAGTAAAAGCTCGTGTACTCTCCAGCGATGCTATATGAGAGGGAGAGAGGGGTGGGTTCCACGTGCATATCCACGGTCTTGTGCGGAGGAGGGTTGGTTTCTCATGTACCATCGACGGCGTTGAGGGAAAGGGTCGGTTCCTGACGTATATAACGGTGGGGCTTTACGAGGGACAGGCCGTCGGTTCCTGATGTATATACAGGGTGTTACGAGGGAAAGGGTCGGTTCCTGATGTATATACAGGGTGTTACGAGGGAAAGGGTCGGTTCCTGACGTATATACAGGGTGTTACGAGGGAAAGGGTCGGTTCCTGACGTGATTATACACGGTTGTTGACGAGGGATAAGAGGGTCTGAGTTCCCTGATGTTATATCACGGTGTTACGACGGGAAAGGCGTCGCGTTCCTCATGTATATATACACTGTCGCATGTACGAGGAAAAGGGTCGGTTACCTGACGTATATACACGGCCTGTTACGAGGGAAAGGGTCGGTTCCTGACGATATATACACGGTGCTTACGAGGGAAAGGGTCGCGTTCCGGTGACGTATATACAGTGGTGTTACGAGAGAAAGGGGTCGGTCTCCTGAGTATATACACGTTACGAGGGAAAGGTCGGTGGATTTCTGACGTATATAACTGTTCTGTTTACGAGAGAAAGGGTGGTTCCTGACGTTATACACGGCATTTACGAGGGAAAGGGGTCGGTTCCTCATGTATATTACACGTGATACGAGGAAAAAGAGGTCGGTTCCTGATGTATATACAGGTGTGTTACGAGGAAAGCGGTTCGGTTGCTGACGTATATTACACGGTGGTTACGAGGAAAAGGGTCGGTTCCTGACGTATATACAGGTGTTATCGAGAGAAAGGGTCCGGTTCTGACGTATATAACACGGCGATTGTACGAGGGAAAGGGTCGGTTCTGACGTATAATATACACGCGTGTTACGCGTGAAAGGGTCGCGTTCCCTGACGTACTATTAACAAGGTGTTACGACGGGAAAGGGTCGAGTTCCTGACGTAATATAACACCGTGTTGAGGGAAGGAGCGGTCGGTTCCTGACGTATATACACGGTTGTTACGAGGGAAATTAAGGGTCCGGTTCCTGGAGCGTATATACACGTTGGGCTGTTACGAGGGAAAGGTCAGGTTCCTGACGTATATACACGGTGTTACGAGGGAAAGGGTCGGTTCCTGATGTATATACACGGTGTTACGAGGGAAAGGGTCGGTTCCTGATGTATATACACGGTGTAATGAGGACTGTGGTGGGTTCTGGTGTATATACACGGTGTAATGAGGGGGTGGGTGGGTTCCTGCAGTATATCTACGGTGCTATGAGGAGAGATGGGGTGGGACGTT